GCATGAGCGAGGAGCATTACTGTTTTGTTAGGAGCTGTGTTCTGATTCACAGTTTGCTGGGCTTGGGCAAATACCTTCAGTTGATTTGAACCTTGTGGGAACGTGATGCGACCGCTGGGCTGCACCGTCCCCCACCTGCTGGCATCTCTACTGCAGGACAGAAAACACAGCATTTTTATACAAAACCCACATAAAACCCATGACTGGCCCAAGGCCTGTAAGAGGCAACAGGTGTGGTGCTCAGCTCCTCCCTTGCCCACCCGCTCAGCAGGGAAAGGCAAACAAACCTTCCCCTGCAAGGAGAGAAAAAAGCTTCACTCTGTGACTGATTTGACCAACTCTGTCTCAGGATATTTGTTATTTAAGGGACGTTTTACTGAGCAGATGGGTAGTTTTGATTCTTAGGGCCTTGTGTCCGTGGGAGACAGGCAGGGAAAGGCCAGGGAGAGGAGCCTGGCAGGGCCAGAGCATTGACAGGGCAGCGTTAGTGGCAGCAGCCGCTGCTGGACCCACGGCGCTGCAGCCCCTCTCTGCAGGCAGGGCTGGCTGGGGGCAGGCTCCGAGCTGCACAGGGCATCTTCACACCCCTGTCCACACCACGCTGGGACAACCTGCATATACGCCTGTGGCACCAAGCCGCTCCCGCAGCGTGGATCCAAAGCCGAGCCAAGGAAAGCCCTGCAGCAGGGGTGCTGGGGGATGGCACAGATGACACGCTCACCGCTGCCACGCGAGGCGAGCTGCCGCCGCACCGGGAACCCTCACCGTGGGAAAGCCTTTGATCTAACCAGATCTCCCAGGGCCGGACTCCGCTTCCACTTCGGTACCTGCTCGTGTAAACATCGGCGCCGCCGCGCAGGCAGAAGCCGCATCCTGTCGGCCCCTGTTGCAATCGGCAGGGCCATCCCCTCGGCCACAACGCGCGGGGTTGCGACACTGCAGGGAGCGACACGTCCGTGTGGGGCAATGCAGGGCTGGTTCCCGTCGGGGCGCGGCCCCGGCTCTTTGCACCCGCACGCACCCAGCGCTTCATTTTGCGAGTGACCAAGGCGGGCTACGTGCACCAGGAGAGGGTTTCTGCTAGTAACTCTCCTCTCTGCAGGAACATATATCTGACTTCATAATTCATGCATGCCTGGGAAGTTCAATCCAGTCCCACTGGAGTAGCAAGCTCGGTGGGAGTTTATTTATTTAAAAGAGTGCATGCAGTAGCGTGGAAAAAGAAAATCAAATCTATCAGAAACCTTAAGTCTTAATACTAAACCAGCTTTCCTTTTCTTAAAATACGGTCTAGGGAAACTGCTTGTAAAATGTGGCTTCCATGGAGCCTTGGCTTTACTATTGCAATCCCCACAGAACGGTATTATAGTATAATAATTAAAACATTTACAAAATGAAGATAATCTATGGTCGATCCAAGTTTCTATGGAAATTTGGAGGCTATGCTGTATGCAGCTGTTCCCATCTAATGCAAAGGTTGGCTGTAGCCCTGCTTCTGAGCCCATTTGTAAATAACTTGGGGGATAATTTATCTGTTACGTTGACACAATTCTCAGCTTGCACAGGCCCTAAGTGTAACATTTCTGTGGTTCCCAAGTAAAAGGTTGCCTTATCCTCCCTGCTCAGCCAAGCAATTACTGTTCTCAGACTTAATGAGGTACCTCTGCTGAAAGGTGTGGGTGCTTGCTCCGGTGTTGCAGATCAGGGGAGGCTGTTGGGTGACAAAGCAAAAGGATAAAAACACCTGAGAAAGGATCTTAAATGCTATGATGAAGGACTTTTTGGGCTAATAACCTGAAACTGGGCTGATAACCTGAAACCAGGCTGATAAAAAAGCCGGACAACTTGCAACTGCTTGTGGGGGAGCAGAGAGCAGGCATTTGCTACCTGCTCATCATCATGACATGATGATGTTTTACATTCACAAACTTATCTGCAGTGAGTCCGTGGCTGATATAAGCAGTTTTCACTTTGCAGTGTTAAATTACTAATGAAGAAAGTATTAATAACCTCTAAAGAAGGTTTGCCAGCAGAGCAGAGCTCCAGCAGCTACACTATGGCCCCAGGGGTGTAAAACCTTCAAGCCTCATTGAAACAACAGCATGAAAACCTGCTTTTACAAAGGGATAGGAAAACTCCATCAGTCAGGATTGCACAGAAGAAAATCTTTCAGCCGAAGTAGGGCTGGAGGTTCCCATCCTGAACACATATTTAGTACCATTCACTGAATGGATCCCTTAGCATTAGTTTGAACTCAAACATGGAAAGTCATAATGTCTCAGTGCTTCACAGTAAGAATTAAGTAAACCCCACAACAACCAACCAAAAATAGGCCCAAAAGACACCCCCCTCCCCCAAACACAGTATTTTAAGTAATGGTTGTATTTAGTCACTGCAGGGCAGCTCAGTTACAGCTAGGATGGAGGTGGTGATGGCTCAAAACTGTCACTGATTTTAGAGAATAACTGTATCCAGAGGCCCTCAGTCATTTCTCAGGGAAAATAATTTGCAAATACAGATACATGTCCCAAGCCATAAAAAAACCTGTCAGAAGGGGCCTACAAGAAAGCTGGAGAGGGACTTTTGACAAGGGCATGTAGTGAGAGGACAAGGGGTACAACTTCAAACTGATAGGAAAGCGGGTTTAGATTACATATTAGGAAGAAATTCTTTACTGTGAGAGTGAGTATAGAAGATCTGAATACACACATTTGGAAGTGCAAAAAGATGTAAGCCAAGCTGAGATCAATCTGAAGTCCTCTGCTTCCCCAAAGGGCAGGATCACAGCTCAGCTTAGCCCCAGCAGGCACAGACTGCTCTGATGGAGAGCAATGCCCCCATTCACCCTCTGGCCTCCACTGACTTTTGGTATGGGGAACAAGGAAGGGGTTTTGATGTGACACAAGAGTGATTTCCTAGAAGACAGTAAGATTTGCAGAGCTGCCTGTTGTTTGCAGGAGCACAGGTCTCTCTGTGTCCATGCCAGGGTTTGCAGCAATAAATCACGGGTTCACTTGGATGCATTCCTTATTGCCCGTGGGAGCCCTGTTGCTAAGTCACACAATTATGTCACTGTGGAGCGTCTATGATTTTTTTTGCAGTTGGGGTCTTTTTGTTCCTCAGCAGACCTTCTGGGCATATAGGTTTCCTTAAGCCAAAATCTTAAATTTCCAGTTGTTTATTGGCTGGATTTTGGTTATTGTCTTACCAGCAGCCTGGACAGGCTGTGAAGACATGTCTGCATATGGTTCTGTGCTGGGTTATTACATCGGTCACCTACATCAGAGCTGTTCCCTCTCCTTTTTGGAACAGAATAGATTAAATATTAGGGGTTTTAGTAGAACTTTATCTATTTCCAGCAATCCTACATCAGTTCCTAATCATCATCATCATAAACTGTAACAATAAAAAACCTGAAGTTAGATTTAGATGAGATTAATGGATTAAGTCTCCTTCAACACCTTAAGAAATCCACTAGAAAGCAATTTGCAGTCTGCTTGCTTTCTGCCCAGAGAAGTTATGGATGCCTCATCCCTGGACGTGTTCAAGGCCGGGTTGGATGGAACTTTGAGCAATGCAGGCTACTGAAGGTGTCCCTGCCCATGGCAGGGGGGTTGAAATTGTATGATCTTTAAGGTCTTTTCCAACCCAAACCATTCTGTGATTCTGATTTTAAGGACACCATCTCTCTTACCCTGATGGCAAATTTTGGTTTTTTTTCTGTGATTACACTGTTTTAAATGCAGAGCCTAAAAAGCTCTGCACGTTTCAATCTCTCCCTCTACACATAAAGGCTTTGGATTTAATTTTCTTTCAATTATTTAGATTCCGGTAGAGCATTTTCTTTGTAACTACTACTGCTACACACATTAAACCAGCTCTGAAGTTAAGCAGCAATTAGAGCAAATGCTAAGATCATCAGCCACTCAGGTCTGTTAAAGCAGAAAACTATTTTTGAGGCAATCCAAGAAACACAGCCCATCCAGCCAACGACAACACACCTTCCTCGTAAAGGCTCAGGTTTTTGTGCAGCCAACGAGCAGCTGCATCTGACCCCTGAGCTCAGAAGAGCCCAAGTGCCAGATAATAATGCAGCTGCAATGTAGATGTGTTCTGGGAGCACACTGTGCTTCAGTTTGCTTTCCCAACAAAGAGGGTGTGTGCGTGGTGTCCTGCGAGTGCGTCCAGCCGGACAGAGACACGCGAGGGAAACCTGCTTACAAAGAGCAAACTGGAGCCAGACCTGAAACTGGGACAAGATGGTGCAAGCTGGGATCCAGGAGTACATGGACTTCTCTTGCAGAAGCAGCTGTCCTCATCCCATGCACCTTTGGCTTCCACTGACAGAAAAGATCCTTTTTCTGTCGTATACTGAACGCAGAGCGCATCCTTCATCAGGCTGCAGCACTTGCAGGGCAGAATGCATTCCTGATCATAGATAGCCACAAATTTCCAATCAATTTACAGCTAAGAATGACTTTAAAGAGGTCTTTAATATTTCTTCCCCCTCCCCCCTCTTTCCTTTATTTAATAAAATAAAAACCCAGTTTAAATTTCTAGGGTGTTTTAATTCACTTTAATTCTCAAATATATCCAAGACAAGAATAAGGGCCTCTGCCTAATGTTCATCCCAATGGCATCTTTCAGGCCATCCTGCAAATGTAACCACAACACTCCTGATCATATGGGTTGAACCATATCTCTGCATTTCCTGAGCATTTTAGCACCTGCCTGTAAATAATTCAAACCATGTCTTTTCAACTTTACCTCTATTTTAACACTTCTTTAAATTCAGGTATACAAATGTAAATACAATGTGATATTTTACCTATTTATTTCTTTACCTGGGCCCCTGGATTTGCCTCCTGCTTCAGGCAGGTCCCTGCCATGATCCTGGCACTTGCTCACCAGCTCCTCAGGGTTTAGTCCTACATTCTGCATCCATCCTCCCCTCTCTTGTTTAATCAACTTTTTTTTTAAAATGCTGATTCTGCAGAGATTTTGCCATTTTTCTCTGAAATGAAAGTGTCACATGGAAAGGAGAAGTCATCGGTTGTACCAATAGGTGAGATAAAAAGGATGCAGATTGCAGGGCAAAATAATAAAAATAATAATAAAAAAAAGAAAGACCAAAATCATCTTTATAACAGAAGTGAGCAATATTGGGTAGGGAAGAGTACCTTGTTTATATACACCTCAAATGCTTTTCCTTTGTGGAGGAAAAAAAAAAAAAAGATATCTGGATCTTAATACTCTCATGGGGACATTACAAGATCATTACACTTGGAGACTTTCCATCTTCCCCAGTCCATTAACATCCCATCCCCATACCTCAAGCAAGATTTCCCTGGAGACATCACCTTCTTTCATCACATCTGATATCTAATAAAGACATAAGAGAATTTAATAACAGACTGCACAGGGGAGACTTCTGTTCAAACAGCCAAGGTTGCTGCTGATGTGTTGTTACTACAGATGCTGAAAAAGTGTAAGAGCGACAAGGAAAGTGTGGGGTGTTCAGTTTTGGAGGTCATGCCAGTGAAGCCGCTGACCTCACCCCAGCCAGCCCAGAATTTGTATGAAATGAGGCAGAAAAAGGCAGTTTCATCTGATCAAGTCCAGTTCCCTGTCACTTGGCTCTACAAATTTACAAAACTCTTTGGAGGGGGAATGCCTTCTCTGAAGGATCCTGAGACAACACAACAAGTGAAGGGACCAAAGTTGTCAAAATAAACTTGCACCCATCTTAATCATACTTGCTGAACTTAACAGAATATTCCCAGATTGCTTAAAAAAAAAAAATCACTTGCCCTACTTGAGAAACCAGCCCCAAAAGGCACCTGGTTGGTCTCCTGCTGGATTAAGCATCTTCATAAAGAACACAGTGTTTTATGGCCCCTGTCTCCCAGTCTTCATATTGTTTCCACAGCCAAAATTTTCAATAATGACCATTAGCTTTGGGTGCTCAAATTGAAAAAACTTGAGCAGCTAATTCTTTTTTTTTTTTTTTAAATCTAGAGGTGAGCAAGTATTGTCACAGCAGCAGTCTTGTATAAAACCATCTTAAATGAGAAGCTGGAAAGTGAAGGGCACAAAAATACCACACCACTTCTAAAACTTGTGTTGGGCTAAAATAAGGCACACTGACCTGATGGCTGGGCCTTGAGGTTCTGTGTGGCTTGTTCATGCAGAGCCTGCCAGGTCCTTTGTCATTGAATTGCAGTTCATCTTTTATAAATCCATATTCAGGTATTCATTTTGCAGAGATGTACTAGAGCATTTTCTATAAATGCTTTTGCTGCTGCTGGAGATGGGTGATCAGCTTCTCTGTAAATTGTTCATGAACTCTTCTCGGGTGTGTGTGTTTAAATGTGAGAAGAGAACAAGCCAAGTAGAGACAAATGTTTGGTGACAAACATTATATATGTACTATGAGGTAAGTACAGATGAGAAATGGAAAGCGTCTATTTGCTGAGAGCTGAGCCAGGTACCCGAGGGCAATGTCAACCGTGCCCTCAAGAGTTCAGCTACCAGTTTTGGCACTGGTTTTCTGAGGAGGGCATATATGCAAGGCATTGTTCGTAGCTGCACCAAGATTATTCATGAATAAAGAACTCAGGAACCTTTCTCACTAAACTTGTGAATTCAGTTTTTACTACACTAAAAACATCTCAATGTTTTCTGCTATTTAACGTAAACTGACAGATTTCTTGCATGCTTCAGGCTATTTCCTCTAAAATGGGGTAGGGTTGGTATTAATTTCTGAGCTGTTTTCTTTCAGCAAGGTCACTGTGTTTTCTCTTGCTTCTTCACAGGATTCCCTCGTTCTGGGCTCCCCACACTTGGTGTCCTCATCCTACTTCCAGAGATCTGCCTTCACAGACCTGCTGCATCACCTGCTTGTGTGTCACCCACTTCTACAGCTCCAGGGAGTCCCCACCGCTTTGGTGCCGGAGCACCGAGCCACAGGGAAGAGAAGGTTTGCAAAGTCCAGAAACAATTTTAGGGAGAAGAAAGGAAATGCTGAGTGTTGGCTACTTGGCAAAGGCTGTGTGTTTGCTGCCGTTGTGGAAAATGCCTGGGAGGCACCATTAACCATTGCTCTTTGCTACGGGCTGGCTTGTGTCCACACCGCCAAGGACCAGCACTCTCTGAAGGACAATGGTTACCTTCGTGCTGTGCAGAACTTGGCCTGGGTCTCCTCTGAGCTCCCTGCAGAGCCCCACGGACCCTGGGTCAATAACTATTGTACTGGGGACTTTTTCTTTAGGCTTGAAATTCTCCAGATGATGAAAGGAGTGGGTGGCAGCCTGCCAGCACAATGCTTTTCAGCAGGGTGTGAAGGCATTTTGGGTTCTACAGCACAGCGTGGAGGTCGGTGGGCATGAGGTCTCCTGGGATGGCTGGAGGGCTGTCCAGGGTAGAGCCTGGTCCAGCTCATGCCAGGTTCTTCTGTCTGGGCAATGCTGGAAAAAAAATCCCTGTCAGTCGTGTTGAGGTTTCTCCTTGGGAGAAACCAGTTGGTTTGCTCCAGAGCAGAGACAGGAGGGAGCTCATATGCATGCCACGGAGACAGCCGGTGAGCAGAGCCCAGGGGGGAACGGAGGCAGCCAAATTGGCTGGGCAGACAAAAGGAGTTTCATACCCCACCGTGGTCTCACCGAGCGAGACGTTAAACACAGAACAGGCAATGCAATTTTTCCTCACCATCACCCGCAGCATCGGCAGCCGGTCGGTCCCTCACCGCTCGCCCGCCACTGTCACAGTCTGGAGGTGACTCTGGCACGTGCTTCTTCAGCCACCGTGAACCCCTAGAGCTTTGCCAGATGAGAGCAAACTTTGTGCCTTGGCTCTGCAATTCTTGAAGGTTAATATGACTAAACAGCAATTCTGTGTCTTTTTCAATAGCCCTAGCCTTTGATTTTGGGCCTGTCTAGGGGTTTAGGCTCAGTTTTAACTTTAAGAGGTAAGATACATGAAACACTCACATAAAGCCAAATTAAACAGCACACAACTGGTGGATTTCAGTATTTCATTGCATTTACAGTCCAGGTTTTCAGTCGTGCAGCTCTAGCTGAAAGCAGTATGAAATGACATTTTTCTCCATCATACATAGCCTATTTACAGCAATACAAGAAAATGTTTACCTTAAAATATAAATGTAATTACAAAGGTATAATTACAGATATGACTGCGCCTCTTTGAGCCACCTCAAATTACAGTTTCAAATTATAACAATAAAAAAGGATCAAATTAACGACCTTGGTTAATTTCATTACAGAGTGGAGCGAGCGCTGCTCAGCACAGGGTAAGATTACGCTGCCTGACCTCATTTCATCCGTCCTCTTCCCTTGCAACAGAAGAGCGCCCGATGGCACATCAGGTGAGCCATTCCTCCCAAAGATGTTGCTAAGCAATCAGCTGCAGGGTTATAAATGTTGAGTGCTTGATAGACGGTGCATGAGGGTAGAGATTAACTATATTTTTTATTTTTCCTTTCCAGGTGTTAAGGGAACTGGAGTGGTTCACCTGAGCGGCATTGAAATAGTTTGGAGTCAGAAATCAACCCAGATTTAAAGCAGCCTTCGGTGTTTGTGTACAGACTGAACTGATTTATCGTGCGTGCTGTGTGCTGAGTTGCAAAACCTTGCTGTATTAGTGATTTAAAAGGAGGAACAATTTGATTTGTCATTACTAATAGGGATGTAACTAAATTAGTCTCCCACATACTTTATGCTGATGAGGTCATGCTTAGATTTCCCTTTGTAGATCTGCATTCTCACTGGCTTTAATCACAGCTAAGAAACATACTGTATGAGTAATACTATTATGAAATACTGAAGTGTTTTCAGAGGGGTTTAGAAACCCAAGAAAACCACGGAAGTAAAAATCAAAGGTAAGCTTTAATATTCAGCCCTATGTTGTACATTTGATTAAATATTAATTCCCAGCAATGTGTTGGGTGCTTACAACCGAGCTCTCTTGACCCATTTGAAATGCATGGTCACGTATATAAACTTGGCATTTGAAAAAGGACAGGTCAACTCTGTAGATCCCACTTAAATCTTTTCTACAGTTCTTGCTTAATTAGTGGTCTAACCCTACCCTTACAAGTTATTGACTTGATCGCAGCTGTGGAGTTAGGAAAATATTGCTAAAAGATAGATATGCAGGCCTTTTAAAAATACAGAGTCTCTCTGCAATAAGGTGTTTTTTTTCTTTTAGGTGTTTGTTTGTTTGTTTGTTTGTTTGCAAAACAGCTTGAAATGAAAGGAAGTCAATGAAATTCTGGATTATTCAAAGAATAATAATCAGGGGGCTCCTTGTGCAAGGTGGGAAACAGAAAAATGTAAACTACAGCAAGACACCTCAGCATTTGTCATCATCAGTGAACTTGGGAGTAGGTGGCACAGGTTAGCAGAGTGCTGCCTCTGCCTCTGCCCTGCAGCTTCTCAGATGGCACGTCAGGTCCTCGACCATGGCCGATGCACCCACAGCTATCAGTGAGTGATTTGGTACTGTCAGCCCCTGCTCTGGCCACCAAATAAATTCAGTACTGGGATGGAGCCACCTTTTCCATCTTCCACTGAAGTTTCTTGAAGGTTTTTGTTTGTGTGAAACTGTTACTAGCGTTTCATTTGGTATCAGAGCTTTGATCTCCCCACTTAAATGCCACATTAATGCAGAGCTCCCTTGGGTGCATGAGTTCACAGTATGAGTTAACCTCTTCTGCTGGAAGCCTCAAACATGATTTAGAAATAATTCTGTGCATCACAACAGAAACAAAAACTCAGCCTTAATTAAAATTATAAATAAAAGGGACTTCTCTCCTTAGACTAACCCGAATTCAGACAACAGTTTTGTGCTGCTTTTTCACTACGTTAAAGCAAAATTTCAAATTCTGCCTGCTCAGCCTACAAGTCTCATTTCTGGTCAGAAAGCAGAGCATTTTCCTGAATACCATTAAGCACCTGTGAGCAATAAGCTAGCTAGATCCACAAAACATTTAGATTTTTATCCTTCTTTTGGGAATAGAAACTGAGCTGCAAATTTTGGGAACACCCAAGTTTCATTACTGCTGTCAACTCGTAAATGGTTTATTGCTATTTTAAACCCCTTTAGAAAGCCCCTCAAGGTGCTGTTGATTTGACCCACAAAGGGATCAAGCTCAAATTTTGCGAAGAGCCTCTCAGTTGCTACCCACAGATTTCTGACTTCTTACCAAGAACGGGCTTGTGGGTGCCCAACCACGTGAATGCTGATGGAGCAGAGCTGTCTGCAGCCTGAGCTTTCCACCTCTCTCCCCAGTAGCTGCCAGGGGTGCCCAAGGACAAAAACAGGTAGAGGGTGACTTTACCACCCAGTGCCAGAAGGAAACTTTTTGATCCTGGTGGCATTCACTTCTGTGCAGGACTCCAGTCTACACTTCTTGGTGGTAGTGTTTTGAGGGTTTTTTTTACCTAATTACATTTTTATGTTGTATTTCCAGGTTCTGATCTGTACCCAGTCAATTGAATGCTGCAATGACTTAAGGCCTGTGCTTGGTTTCGATCTCATCTTTCTACCCCCATGATTCTTGTCAGCCTGGGCAGGACCGAGGCTGCTGTGGAGGCTGCAGGTCAATCCTGCAATCCTCCAACCCTGCCTGTGAGCTGGCAGAGCCCAAAGCCCACATCTTTTGGTTTAGGATGACTCCTGCAGGTGCTGGACCACTGTACAAAAGCAGGAGCATCACCACTAGCACACCCAGCATTGTCCTACCACCACGCTAAGGTGGACTGAATCCCAAGTTAATTCCACGACCGATATTTCCTTACCATCTCAAGGGAAAAACAAACCCCTGTTTAGAGTGGACAGGGCTGCCACCTGGAGGCACCCCAGTTTTCCTACATAGTGGAGAGAAGGAAGTGCCTCTGTGAGGTGACTGCAGCTCCAGGGACGTCTGACCGGTCCCGTTGGACATTTATAAAGCCGGGAGATGGCAATTTTGGCGCCTCGATTAAGCAAAGGCTCTATGCTAGAGGCCTCTTTGGGGTTAAGGATTTCATCAAGGAGAACAGTGGTTATTTGCTCCCAAATTCAGCCAGAACACTCTCAAGGGTTTTCTCTCCAAGACCAGGTTCAGGCAGGATCCAGACTCCCACCTCTCCACTGATGTAACACTTAAATAAACAAGGACCTAAAGCACTTCCATCCTCACCTTAGGCGCCTCACGAACCCTCTCATCCCTCACTGATCCTCTCTGGTCAGTACCAGACTGTGTTTTCTCTTCCAGCACGAGTCTTGCAGCCGTCTCGGTGTTTCCCAGGGGTTCCCGTGAGGACGGGCAGGGAGCGCAGCAGGGTTGCGACAGGGCTTGTGGCAGCGATGCCGCGTCAGAGCCCCACGTCGGGCGGCTTGAGCAAGAGGAAACAGCCTCAAAAAAAGTCAAACTGCTGCAGATTTCT